TGCACGACATTAGTTTTGCCTGTCATCTCTGGACAATTTAAAACGTAATCGTTGAAAATCAGAAGAAATGAATTTGAAAATATACTCTCACCATTTAGTTCATTCTCTTTGAATCAATACATGAACAAAAACATGAACAATTTAAATCATAGAATTTTATGCTATTTTTGTGTGAACACTATTAATTGATACAGAATCCTTTTCTCTTTAATTTAAAATCTAACATTTTCTCGTTTCCAATATTCGTACAGTTGGTTTACACCGAAATTTCAGTCGATTTTGACGGAAAAAAAGTCTAAAAACGTTACATCTTTTAACGTTAAAAATGACTAAATTGCGTTACATGAATGTTTCTTGAATATATATATCATTGAGCATCTCGCACATTCGTACACAATACATAGGAACATTAATTACAGGGAAAAGAGCATTCGCGTGCGATATTTAAGATAACTCCTTAGTTTTTATGATTAGCACGATGGATTACACCAGTTATATAAATTGATGAATTCGTTGTGTTTGGCCGTAGTTGAAACCCGTTTTTATCAAATGTATTGGGATACAATTCAAGAATAATAGCCTTGTATTATTGGCAGTATTCGCATGACTTTTCGTTATAGCGATAAGTGTCCCGTGTGGAAATAAAAAGACTAACAGTCACTCAGTTGTATGTAGCTGTATGCAGTGGTACACAACTGAAACTGGCTAAGGTGATTGAAAGATTTTTGAACTTTATGGGGAAATTTCTGTATTTTTGGGGAGGTTTTTGTTTTTTCTTTATTCCTTCAGCCAGTTTCGGGACATTTTGACTGGAAAATGAGTAAAAGTTGAACTAACGACGACTACAGTTATCTTCAATTTTAGTCAGTTGATAGCCGGCCAAAATGTCTTGAATTAATCGACTGGATACTCAGTCAAAAAATTTCCACACGGGATAAGAGTTGAAACAACAAGCAGAACATTCCACAATTTTTTACTATGATTGAATAAATGTCCGGAAGTTTGAGCTAATATTTGTTTCTTGGATACAGCGATCACCTGAAATTAGAAGACGGCCGCGCTCTCCGCCCGAGCCGCCATCAATATCGTATAATCGAGTAACTAGTTCAAATGAACGTTCCCAAAAAAGAATTTTGCCACGATCTAAGCGGCCGCCATCTCCACCAGCTGTAAGTTGAAATTTTAAAATTAAACTGGAATCTTTCCATTCGAACTAGAAGTCATGTTTTAAATACAAACGTTGCTTGATATTGACACAGTACAATATATCCTGGGTTTCATATCAACATATGAACGCATTAAGAATAAAAACAACGTTCAAAACGCCACTCAGGACACGTATCAAAGCACCACTCAGGACCAGTCGCATAACAAAGCGAAACAAAATGTTGATGTTACATGAATGCGCAACACTGCAATACGTTCATTGCATGTGAAGCGTCTGAGTGCTTAAATATGGTGTTCTGTATTCATCTAACAGCAAATTTTGTTCGTTTCGACTCAAAAATGTACTTCAGTTGCGCTTCAATGCGTAAGCGTATCATACGTCATTTTTATTCTGGCGCATTCATATACTCTTTCATACTATTGGGTGCTAAACTTATTTTAAAGAATTTTTTTTTTCAAAATACGTAAATAATGCATATCAAATTCTTTTGACAATTCAAGTCTAGTTACTTCTTCACAAGCAGGAAAAAAATCGTCAAATAAGTTAACCTTCAACCCGTACATTGGGCACTGTGTGCCCAAAGCCAACTTCGAATGCTTGAATAGTATAATCGGAACTTAAGTTAACTCACACAAAAGTCAAAATATCCAGAAAAGTAAAGCGAATTGAAAAATTAATTATTTACTTAACTTTTTCATGAACATTTTACATGCTATTCGGCATGTTCTGGGATGCAAACAAAACTAAAAGAGAGAATTTTTCTCAAGCGTCCATAATTAGAAAAAATTGAAAAAGGGCACTGTTCAAAATATTGATCATCTTTCATCTCAATGCAGAGCTTCTGAAGCAGGGTCCGAGGGGTCAAATTACCCCCTCTGAATTAATTTTGGCACATCACCCCTATGTGGAAAATTTTACCCATACTCTGATTTAAAATTCAAAAGTGAGGACTTTTTTTGGTCCTCACGTTTTCTGTGATGCGGGTTTACACTAGATAGAATCGATTTTGAAAAGTGATGACCTTTTTTTGCTCTTCACTTTTGGAATTACCCATACTCGAAGAAACCCCCCAAATAAAACTTTGCAATTTGGAATTACCCCCCTCTGGACGACCAACCTTCAGAAGCTCTGTCTCAATAGATGATTGCAATTGGAATAAATACTTGCAATTTCAACTAGGATCAACATTCAACACACAATCGTCTATGTTATTCAAATAACAGAATTTTCATTTGTGCGGCCATCACAGCGCGTAAACCAATTGATTATTCTTGATTAATAACACAATTCGACAATAAAAGTTGAATTCTTGGTTTTTGTTTGTTCATATTTCAGTCGTTTCAGGTCATTACTTCGACTTGATGTTGACAAAAACTAATATTGTTTATTAATTCTACCTAAAATTTTACGGTAAACATTTTTGAAGCGTCAATCAAAAAACCGTCAAAAATAGTCCTATTCCTCACGAGAAAACCGGCCATTTTAATACATGTTTGATATAACATCTTAAGTTCAGATAACCAGGTATGATGGATGAGATATTATCTTTTATCTTTTATCTTATCTTTATCTATTCTCCATATTTTTCCAATTATCTATTGCCAAATTTAAGATAAATGAAGCCTTCAATAAGTAAAACGGGGTTTTTTGAACAATTGTTATTTGAATTTTATCAAATCCTTTTACCGAAATTATAAAATTTTGTATTTTTTGTTTGTTATTTTGTTCTCAATCGATTGTTCGGCCCGTTACTCATCAGAACAAACAGATTCTTTTTTTTTCAGGGGGATTGAAGATTGACAGTCGATCTGCACAAAGATAGAAATGTCATGTCATATGGAGACACCATTTTTATATTTGCTTGGAGCGACTGGAGCGGTCATACATTTCTCATTCATTTTTTTTCTAAAATAATATTATTATAACAAATTAAATATTGTTCAAGTGTATCTTATTTTCATTATCTTTGTTTGGCACAATTATAAAATCATAAAAACATAGTTTCATGAGACATAACATGCGTGTTCTTGGAGCGGCCATCGAAATTGATTACAATAGTAGCCAACATTGATTACATCAATAACCAATATTACAGTGTAATAATTTCAACAATCAATTACATTTTTACTCTACGTTTTTGCAAACATGAAGTTTAAAAAGGCTAAATAACACTTTCGTATTAAAAAAATTAAAGAGATAAATCAAACATTGATTCCTCAGCAATAATTAATAGCGGCCGATCCAGTTGGAGCGACAACTCTACAAATTCACCATGGAGCGGCAACACTCCGAATTCACCATGGAGCGGCAACACTCCGAATTCACCATGGAGCGGCTAATATTGCTTTTCAAAAGAAAAACTATAATAAACGAATTTGAATTGTCTGAAATTAATTTAATCAATGAAAGTAAGAATATTACTTTTTTATACATTTTCATTAGTTGAATTTTTTTCTTTTGATATATAATACTAGCCGCTCCATGGTGAATTCAGAGTGTTGCCGCTCCATGGTGAATTTGTAGAGTTGCCGCTCCAACTGGATCGGCCACAGGTAATTGTTACTGAGGAATCAATATTTGATTTATCTCTTTGATGTTTTTAATACGAAAGTGTTATTTGGCTTTTTTCACTTCATCTTTGAAAGAACATCAAATAAAAATGTAATTGGGTGTTGAAATTATTACACTGTATTATTGGTTATTGATGTAATCAATGTTGGCTACTATTGTAATCAATTTCGATGGCCGCTCCAAGAACGCGCATGTTATGTCTCAAGAAACTATGTTTTTATTATATTCCTATTGTGCTAAACAAAGGTGGTGAAAATAATAGTGACACTTGAATCAAAATTTTTATTATGTTATAATCATATTTATTTAAAAAAAGTGAAAAAAAAAATGAAATGACTGATCCAGTTTTTTTGTGGCCGCTCCACCAGCATGATTGTTAGATGTGCAGCTGACCAACTGACAAGCAAACTGCAGCGCTAGTGTCTATGTGTCAAAATTTTCAATCCCCCTGTTTTTTTTTCTTTCTTTTTTTCTGTTTCCAATAATTTTTAATTTCGGCTTTGTGCTTCAAGTTTTATAGACCGTCTCCGATGAATCTGATTTGAGATGTGATATGACTTTTGTAATACTAAAAGATTTTGGACAACAATTTTCAAACAGTCATATCTTGCCCAAATGGCGGTCGGTTTGCATGTCCGAAATTTGCATGTCCTTTTCGAGTGCGTTCCAATGATGTATAGCATTTTTTCATCCCAAAGCCAGTTAAAAACTATGAAGCACACCTTGACATGCTAAAAGTGTGAACCAAATGTATTTTTCAATCGTACTTGAACTTTTGCTCAGCATTGTATATAAATGAATTTTATAATAAGAAGAAAAGGAAGATCCATCTTACTACAGTCCTTGGGAGAGAGGTTGACATGGTTGTAAAATATTACCAAAATTTTAGAGTCGACCGTTTTCATAATCCAAGTTAGAAACGCGCTGTTTGTGAATTGTTCATTAAATTTTTAATTCAGTAGGAAGTGCACATTAACTAAGTATTAAGTATTGCGGTTCTTACAATCAAGGTTCGTCGTCGTGGTTTTCCAACGACCTAAGTTTAGCACCCAATATATATTTATAAACAGAGATAAAGCAAATGAGTGTTATTAAGACAAATATCAGTTGTAAATGGGAAATGCGAACTTGAATTGGGCTTAACTACTATCAATTGCTGCTCATATGTAACTGATGTTCGGCTAATTGCTTTTATTTATATTAAACTTGACTAGATTTACTTCACTTTTGAAGAATGTATGATTTAATCTAAATTTAATAGGTTTCAAGATCGCCATCAAATAGCTCAGTCAGTTGTACGGATGATTCGTGTTCTGTGTGCTCGCCCAAATCAAAACGTTTACGTTCAAGGTCAGCATCGCGTACAAGACATGTACCGGGTCGATCAACCTCAAACTCTCACTTACGACATATGCCATTATCACCATCCCAAAATAGCGGTAAAATTAATGGTCGAAATGGTCCCAGTTTTTCATCGTCTTCATCATCGATGATTCTAGCTTCTGGTCATCACAGCAAACAACGGCCGCCTAGTCCAATGACACGTGATGAACGACGTACGCACGATGATAAATGGAAGATCGCTAATTCTGATAAATTGTTACGTGATCGTGTTGCTACCTCGCGTGGCCAAGCATTAGATGAATCGACACATGACCCTTCGCTTAGCAAACATTCTTTGTCTTCGCGTTTATCAAAAAACCATCGGACCACCTCTTTGGATTACGTACGATTGAAAAATCCTACAGAACTATCACTCTCGAAAAAGAAGTCTAAGGACAGTACGGTAAGCAAGAACAATTATCAATATCTTACTTATACATATACATATTGGCAAAGCACAAAATATTGGTTAAACATGATGAAACAAAACTTGGGTTTGAAATTCACATTGAACATTCAATATAATTCCATATAAAGTCACATAAGACGTGTTCGGAAAGTTTTGAGACTGAATTGAAGCGTTTATTGCGCACCATAAACAAACAGAAAAATGTCATCAAATGCATGTGTCGCGCTTAACGGCACCACTTGCTTACTTCTAGACAAAAATCGCACAGAAATTAGCACTTGCGATGTCGTAGAAGCTGGATTTGTGTACGTTTGTAATAAACCTTTTTGGACGACTAATTCTCGGACGAAGTATTTGAGCTAACAAAACGTTCAATGTTCAAATGTTGTTGATGATTGAATATTTTATTTCGTGTAATTGTTATCAAATAAAAAACTTCATCAAAGTCAATTCTCGTGCCGAAAGCGAACACAAAACTGCTGATATCAAATTCAAAAAATCTTTTTGGAGCGATTTTCTGTTGCCTATTTTGCATTCATTCAATTATACATCGCTTCGAAAAGATTTTTGAAATTGATATCAGCAGTTTTGTCATAGAATTCTGCAATATAATAACAATAAGTCAGTCCATATTCTTTCACATAATTGATTACACTGTGCAACATTTTGAAGAGAAAAAAAAGTTTAATTTTCCGCAATTTTAGTGGATTTTATGATATAAAAAAACTTTGTGAAGGGTTAATATCTTGAGAAATTTCCTTGATATCAACGCAAAATAATTTTTTATCAATTTAACCACAGTAGCGCTCGCATTAACGATCGAAAAATGGCTTTTTGTCGATTTTTTGCGATTTCTCATGTTTTTTCCAACTTAAAAAAATCGAATTTTGCCACATGTGTGCTATATGTCAAATTTTAGCTCTAATTCGGGGCTGAAATCCAGAGAATTTTGAGAAAAATGTGTGACCATTTTTTTGGTTTTCAGCCCATAAGACCATGCCAACTCAATTTTTTCTCAAGACCTTTCCAACGATACCCAAATGTTCGAAATCAGTTGACTGGGTTGGGCACAGCGGTCATTGGAAAGAAAGCCATTTTTTGGACTTTAGAAGGCCTACCAAAGCCAAGATGGCGACCAAACTGAAAAGTGCCAGAACAAAAAAGTCTTAGTTTTTTACAGAGATGGTTCATTGTTCACCACAAGTGTATGGAAATGTGTATTGGTATATACTAAAACGTACACCTTTGCGTTTAACGCGTTGAGCGCATGCGTCAGCTACTACTTTTGTGTCAGCGAACGCAAAGGTATATAAATGTATATTAGGGTGTTTTTGCCATCAAATAATCAAGAAATGGTAGTTCTGGA